TATATATATATATATATATATATATAATTCAAGTTTTTTTATCAATTTAATCATTCGTTTATGCTCACTTCACCACATTGCTATGACATGCTGGACCACTAGGTGGCGCTTCGTGTTTGTTGTAGAATAGGATTTACAGCGCGAAGGAATCATGCTGCGGTGATGATAACACCGGCAAAACGTGTATCTCCTTTATTCTTACCACAGGTCAGTGAATATACACTCAATCAGTACATACTATATGTAATGAGTTGAATATGTGACTAAGTAATTGGCACTGTACATACGAGCAAAAGTAACCGGTTATCGAGAGAGGGTAGACGTTAAGCGACAGTGTGACGCGTATGCTAAGTGGCTAATGCTAAGCGGACCTGTGTCGTAGTGAGTGAAGGAAATGCATGCTGATGTTAATTAATTTATATGTTTATTCAAAATGTAATTTTTATTCGTTTCATAAGTTTTATTTGTACACAAATTATTGGCCAAACCCAGGAAACACTATTTCCAAAGTTAAAGTGCAGCGTCATTGATAGAGTGACTGTATGAAAAATGTTGTTACTTGTTGTTTCATAAAATTGGACTAATTTAGATTCATGGTCGGTTCAGGAGAACATAGAAAATTCAATAATATTTACGTTAAAAAAAGTAATTTCATTATATTAGAAAATTTGTTAGTTATCAGTTGCTCCAGTGAAAATAAATTATTTCATTGTTGTCCATGAACATAATAGAATGTTTTATTATTGTTATAAAAATGTTGTTGTGAAATGGGCAGATTATAGGACATTTGTGACAAAAGCTAGGGCTATTAGTTTAATAGCAGAGATTTTGGACGTTGAATATTGTCCACAAAAACGAAAAGAACACTTCTACTTTACTCTTACCACCTGGCTATCAAAGTAAGGAGGCAGTAAGCGCTTCAATGTCCACATTAGCAATGATAGCATGACCTGAAAGACTGTGAGTTGGAAGAATTCTCACTTGATCCAAACCCAGTTGGTCTTCAGGTAGTGGACCTCTGTGCTAATCATTGTTCATCAGTAACTACCACTATGTTTAAACACTGTAAGGTAATCAAGGTTAATCAACTAGGTATGGACTCATACTTCATAACCCATACTTTACATGTAAGGTAATCAAGGTTAATCATGGACTCATACTTCATAACCCATACTTCATATTAATTCAGTTCATAGTTGTATGAAATAATCCAATGATCATACAGTACCTCATGGACAACCAGGAGTAGTAGGTACAGTAGGTAGGTCAGTGTTGCTGTATTCAAGAGAGAAGAGGTAGAAAAATTCAGTTCAGGTCAAACCAGTGTGGTTGTTTGTTGTGCAGCAAGGAGATATTGCATGGTTGGTAGCATGCTATCAGGCTAAATGAGTCCCACAGACCCTCCAGAGCTTCTAGAACCCCCGAAGGCTCGCCTGGATGGGAGCGGATCAGCAACGGCAACAATGCATAAAAAAAATAAACCCCAATCCTAAATCATGTGAGGTTTTCACAGGAAACCTGAGCTTGTAATCGAACGCAACAAGACTCACGTGTCTTCAGGACTTTTATGGTTCCCGACTGTCCTTGAGTGGCCCGTGCCGACAAAGTCCAGACTTTATTATGAGCCTTACAGAAACATCTGCGAGGAGACCTGATGATGGCAGTTCACACACGCTTCCCATTCAGTCTGACGGAAGTGCGGAGAGGATGTGCCAGGAGGAACGGGATTCACTGGCCAAATCCGGGTGTCCTGTAGAGAATTAGTGGGAATCAAGAATTTAACAAAGGACCCACAGAGGCTTCTGCAGGCCGTGGAGCTGTGGTCCGCCAGTAAGTGGGACATTTTACAGTTGGGCACGATAATGTCAGTATATATCGGCTGACTGGGGTTTCTTTTGTTTGTTTGTTTATTTGTTTTTACCCTTGAGGTGAAAAATAAATTATTAGCTTTCTGGACAACTGGTCACTGTAATTTTATATTTGGATTTAGTTTAGGTTGTTCTATAAGACCTACTCTAAATTCAATTTGTCAGTTTTTTCATGACTGATAAAAGGTTTAGAGTAAAAACAAAAATATTCCTCATAGAAAAGAAGAATTTACATTTCTTCAAAAAATATCTCCACAGAAAATAACTGGAGTTTTATTTTGAAATTCATGAAAATCCTCCACAGGGTAGAACCAAACAACAAAAGTATTTTTAAAAATTGTGACAACACCCCGTATTCCAGTTTGGGACAGGTCAGTTACTGCAGTCCTTCCCATGTTTGGACCACAGAACAATGGACTTCTGCTGAAGACACACCTCGAAGTCCAGACTGAAGTCTGCTAAAAATCTGGAGACAGACATACAGACTGTGGGTCAACTGTCTCTGGAGATGTCTAGTGAATAGCACAGAACCCAGAAGATCATAGTCCTCAAAGTGGAAAATCATTTTGGAATTTTATATCTGTAAAAAAAAATCCCTGTGTTAAGCTGAACAAAGTTCTGATATTCTTCTATTCAAACCCGTTGGAAAAACTGTATAAAAAAATTGTATTTTCCTCAGAGACAGTCTTCCAAACTTGACTTTGGTCACAGCTGACCTTCGCGCTCATGCACGTAATGCGCGTCCACGCAGTGCGCGGTCCCCGCTCGCGCGCCTATGGGCAGCATGTTTATTTTCCATGTCTCATTCGTAATGGACTTTGACTATAGAGGGAACCATTTATCATCTTTACAATCAGTCGCAGCAGGTAACACACACACACACACACAACACACACACAGGTCAGCTACTTAACTCTCTTTAATCACAGGCGCCACCGCCACCGTCATTATCTTCATCATCATCATCACCATCACCATGTTATGAGTAAACGATAAACACAGACATATTTCATATTTATTTTTAAAAAATAAAACAAACTAGAGTCAGTGTCGGGAAATTCGCTTCTTACGTAATAAAACAAAAAAAAGACCAAAGTTGGATTCAACCTTTTCAACCCTTTGTCGTTCAAAAACTGTATAACAATATTATTATTGTGATTTTGTTAAGTTATATATTAATATGTTTAAGTACTGTTTTCATTATAACAGTAATTATTAAAATATACATGGGAAAACTAGCCTATATAACACATTCGCGGTATTTTAAAAATATTAATTGTATTTTTTATTTATTTTTTAAAATATTTTGCTAGCGGGCATTCCCTGTCTATATTTTGAAGCCCTTACTTGTAAACAACACAACAGAAGGACAAACAATATAAAAAATAATGAATATTCTGTTATTTTTTTGATTCTACAAAAATGCGCCATTTTAAAGGTATAATTAGCAATAATCCATATGAAGTTTTAAAATGGCGGAACCTTTTTATGTCGAATAACAACACCGTAGTGTTTGGCTTAATGACAGTTTCTGTTTTTATTTTTGTCTTTAAATTGTTTATTGATTGGTTTGCTTTACGGGAACAACATTCAAAAACACGATAAGGTAAATTATTCTGTCTATTTTAGTGTTTGCATCGATTATTCCTCACACATTTTGTCTAAATTCGACACGTTCTGTAATCAATGAAGCACTGGCCTGGATTTTCACTAATTTCGCTGTGGTTTTCTTGATACCGTCAGTCTCTTCATGAGATTAAAAATGTAAAAACTATGAAAATTGACATTTGTTCAAACGTGAGTCATACGAACGGACGGATGGTGTATTTGTCTTTCTGTAAAATGTAGATTACTGTTATTGATTGACGTGTATGTGTGTGTAATTGTCCCTGTATGTTTTTTTTCTCCTCGGTTAATCGAACTACTCTTACTATCTCAGTTTAAAGTTTAAAACGGGATTATTCTGGATCAGAATAAATCCACTTCCTCATTTGTGGCCATAAAAGGTCAAATGAACTGACGCTCAAACGTCGTACTGTTTATTCCGTCCGTATTGTTATATTCGTTTCCTTCACAATTCTTACAAAGGCAAAACAAAACAAACAAAAAAACCCAGAAAATATTAGTCACGTGGGCAATCATAATAATATTTTTTTTAACTTAAAACCAATTGTATAAACCATTTTGAATTGTATTTTTTTAACTTAACTCCACTGTTTGTGTCGTTAACCTTAAATCAAAATAGAGAAAAAAATCAACATATTTTTATATTGACGGAAATAAACCTTTGACAATAGAACGACGCATTTAGATTTATATAAAATGAAAACGAAAAAAAAAAACACCGACCAAGAGCGTGATAACTGCTATACTGAATTTAAAAATATATATAATACAATTCATTTAATTTACAGTTTTTAATTAATGACTCATGGAAACAAGTTTTGTTGTTTGTTTGTAATTTATCAACCGCAAACCAATCATATATCATATCATATCAAGACGTTGTGTTGCTTTTTATACTAATACAAATAATAATACAATGTCTTAGTACAGTACTTGCCATAGACGCCTGTATCTTCTGTATATTTTGAATAAAGTAAATATACATATAAAATAAATGTAGAGCTTAAAAATAAAATGTTTTATAACGTTTGCTTTGCCGTGTAGTATTTTATTTTTCTCGTTATTAGAATATTTAAATAAATACCTGAATACGGTTTCTCTTCAAATATCTTTTCTTTTTCTTTTTTTTAAATATTCCTTTCGAAATAGCTTTAATTAAAAAAAAACAAATGTATTGAATTTGTTTTAATATATTATTAGGTTTATTTTTCGAAATGATTATTTTGAATGTTAGCCATATTCATATCCTATCTAAAAAAAACCCTTAAAATAAAATTATAATATTCTAAATGCGGATGTTAGATATATAAATATAAAAAATATATACAAATATTTTTATATTTTATAAAATATAAAATTGAATTATACAAAATTGAAATATGTTTCCATGAAAAAAAAATTAAAATCCTAATTTATAAAAAGTTGAAATTTTAATGGGTTACTGACCACTTATTAAATGTGGGGGTTTTTCTTGCGTGCGTGTCTCCACGCGCCGCACGCGTTCACGAGCCTCCGTTTAAAAGTAATGGTCGCTGTTTAAGTTATTAAGTGACTTTCGATGCTCATTCATCAGGTCACCTCCAGCCTCTGTCTGTCTGAGAGCAGATGAAGAGAGTGGGCGAGTGAATGAATGAGTGAATGCAGTGAATGAAAATAGAAACATAAAGCCATGCAAAACATCAGCTTTGATACTTGCTTCAGTAGTTTCTCTTTTTTCTTTTTAGGCCTACCTTGAGTCCTGCTCCAGGCCTTGGGCTGTCACACTTGTAGAGTCCAGGATCCAGAGCAGATCTGAGCAGCTGCGGCCTGGACAGAACCAGACTGACACAGTATGGACACACACTGCAGCTTTTCAAACCACAAAAAAACACACACTTTCAGTTTCCCACACAAATACTGGGGTGAGTGTGGATCACAGTGTACCCCCCCCCCACACACACACACCCACCTCCCCTACACCCACGCACACTGTCTTACTGTAGCACAACAAGCAGTAGCTGGGTGTTTAATTTTTTATTTTTTTTTGCACACATGATAAAACATCACCAGACTCTCTGCAGCTCAAACAAGTGAGAAAAAAAAAAAATCAAACACAACAAACGTTTAGTCTCCAGATCTGACCTTCAGTTGGTTTAGCTGCTGTTTTCAGGCGGTCTGCCTATGTTTTCAAAGCTTACGCTGTTTCACTCACGATATTATTATTCCATGTTTAACCAAATAAATACGTCAACATATTTTTGACAAATTGATTTCCTCCCTCCAGGGCCTAATATCCACTTGTATTTTCATTTTGTTCTCCTCATTGATACTGCAGATGCTCTAAATCTTTCAGCTCTCTATGAATTCCCTCAAGGGAAATTACTCTCATTTGTCCTGGTAAAACAGAGAAACTTGGTGCTTGCCAAACACTGAGCGCTGCCAGGGCTAGGATTCAAACCGGCAACCTTCCAAACTTTCCTATAAGCCTAATTGTTTAACCACTAGCTCTCAATTGTCCTTTCCAAATTCACATGACAGTGATGCATCTCCACAGTGACACTCTCTCGCCTCTGTGTTTTTCAATGTGGGGGCTGTGTTCTTTGAGTGACATTCTCCTCCCTTTTGTTTCTCAAAACTCATCTAACTAAAGCCGTATCTTTCCAGCCTGCATTATTTTTCTCCGGGATTTTTTTTTTTTTTCCATTCATTCTGATTTTGGAAGCATCTCTTCAACAATTGTCGAGTGCTCTTAGAAAAATGTCAATGTCATTTTTTTGCAGCCCGAGTGATGAAACACATTTTCTAATCTTTTTCGGCGAGAGTCAATTTTCAAGCAAATTGAATATGAAGGACGCAGGAGGAAGAAAGTGGGCCGTTGATTGTGGACCTTACACAAACAGAAACAGTTTGATTCCGTTTTAGGGTAAACTCAGATTAGACTCCAGAGACCTGGGATTAAAATCCTGGGAATAATAATAATAATAATGTATATGAAGAATCAAACATGTGCCGTACTCTTTGCTCCTAATGAGTTTTTGCTCCGTCGTTATTGTTTAGGGTTTATATTGTATTTCTGTGTGTGTGTGTGCGTGTGTGTAAAGGATATCCTCCTGGCCTTGGGAAAAAAATTAGTGTGCCACAGACTGACAGAAAGCAGACTGCAGTATAGATCTTCCTCTCTGTCTGACTCTCTCTCTCTCTCTCTCTCTCTCACACACACACACACACAATGCCTCGTTTTCACGTTAGTTGTGAGCCTCAGTCTTTTCCTGGATTAGGTCACCAACTGTAAATGCAGCGACATGAGGAGAAATCAGGGGCAGAGAGCAGGAGAAACTTCTGAGCAGTGAGAGAGAGAGAGAGAGAGAGGGAGGGAAAAAAGAGAGAGCTTCGAGTTACAAAATGTGAGTGAAAAAAAAAATCTTTGAAATATATTGGAATTTCCTCCTGGAAGTACACATGATGAGGGCTATAAATGCACCTATAAATCAACGTATTCGTGTTTGCAAAAAGTGAAAAATGTCCGGCCAGGCTTCCATACCACTCCGTTACGAACTCCGGACGAAACAGAAGAAGTTGTTGGATCAACGGCAAATGGAAAAAATTTAATCTTAAAAAGTTTTAAAAAGTTAAAGACATAACAAAATGGTTGAGCAAAGGGTGAAGAGAAATGTTGCAAATATGTTTTATCTAATTACTGTGCTACTTCATTTAATATGAAGACCAGAGCAAACGTGGCTAACGGCTAGCGAGGAGTTAAAAACAATAAACAAACAAATAGTGACAGTTAGAAAATGCCAGAGATGTCTGAAAACTATACTACCACAGTATGACTTGGGCAAAAAAGTGTTTTGACGCTATAAAATGTTCTCGTATATTTTCTTTTTTAAAGGAGTTTTCAATAAAAAATTTAAAAAAAAAACAATCTAGCTTTGTCGGCAAAGTCACAGTAGCTCAGCTCTTACAGCTATTGTTCGCGAATTCAATCAATTCCTTGACATCGACATGAAGTGATTTTTGATTGGACACCACTGCATTCTTTAAGAGCTCTGTTCTGAGTGGCAGTTTTTCTGTGCCTTTACCTTTAAATGGTAATGCTCCGCCCACATCTCTCTGGTACAATGGCAGAGTTATTTTCTATCATGCCGCCCCCTTGGGGACAGAAATGTTTTCACGTAACCCCCAAACCTCTTCCGACCCACAGCCCCGCGAATTGAAACACTGTTGAGACTCTGATAACATGTATATTTGTATCTGTACAAACCACTGTATGAGTTGCTGCCACCTAGTGACTGGAGGCTTGTTATCATTCAAGCATCACAGCAGTTGTACACTTATTAATATCCAGCGTGCCATATTCCATTGGGATATTTTGTCCTGAACTCGACAACATTCAGAACTTAGTCCCTGAGTCTGAGCCGGACTTCTGGTCACATCAGGTCTGGACGTCTGCAGGAATATCTTTGTCCTGGACGCTGCTGCCTGCAGCTGTAGTTATTATTAATTTACCACTGGTGTGGTGATTAATTATATGGACGTCTGACTCCAGTACTTCATAATTAAACCAACTGTGGTCCCACATGTTCTGACCTGGTTGGTGTTGGTTTTCTTTGCATGACCATGTTTTCCATCGCCAAAGCCAAAGACATCGTATTATGTGGTTTTAGATTCTGGAAGAACATGAAATGATTTTACAGATTTTTTTGTGTGTCTTAAGATCACTTTGGCTCAACTACAGGAAGCTTGGTGTCATTTTCCAGAACCATGGAAACATAAAACTTTTAAAAAAACCACTGATCAGAATTCACATTTTTCAAAAACTGCGGCGTATTGTACAATTAAATGGAAACAAAACACCTCAAACTAAAGATCATTTGTTCACAAAAACTTAAATCAGCAGTTTAAACACAACATCAACTTTAAGGGATCAACGTTGCAAAATGTATTACATTGTGTGGTTAACCCAGTGTTTCTCAAATAGTGGGGCGGGCCCCTGTGGGGGGGGCGCAGTGAGGTGCCAGGGGGGGGGCGTAAGGGGCTTCCAATGTGATATGGCACGCTGGACATAAGTGTACCACTGCTGTCATGCTTGAACGATAACAAGCCTCCAGTCACTAGGTGGCAGCAACTCATACAGTGGTTTGTACAGATACAAATATACATGTTATTAGGTTCTCAATAATATTTAAATTGTGGGGATGTGGGTTGGAGGGGGGCATGAAAACATTTCTATGCGCAAGGGGGGCATGACCACTATGTGGTTCAAAGTTCCAGGAACCAGGATCAGTACCAGGACCCATTTGTCCCCCTACAGGTCTAAACTGTGAACTGCCTTTTGTTGAGAGTTTGTGTATGTAACTTAAAAAACAATACTTTTTAAAACCAGGATTTTAACAGACCGGTATTGAAGTGTTCATCATTTTGTATTTATCTTTATTTTTAGTAATAAAACGATCAAAATTGAGGTAAAAATATCAGGTAAAACAAAAACAAAATATCGTGGGCGTCATGCAATGTTTCCAACTCTGTAAAAGTTCAGATGGAACTTGATTTTTAAAATTCATAATAAAACTCTACATTTCTTTTATCCAAACCTTTTCTGTTGCAGAACGTCTTGTAAATAATTTAAAGCCAATATCTTCAGCTTCAGGCTTCCTGGAGGGAGCTCTGCAGTTGCTTTTGATAATTGTGCAATGTCTTTTGAGACCTGTAGAGGGCAGCACATGCTGTCCCACATCTGCTACATGTAATCTGTGAAAGCAACAATACTGCTGCTGCTCCTGCTGCTGCTCCTGCTGCTGCTGCTGCCATGTCCTTTCCCCATGAGCTCATTAAGACTTTAAAAGGCTTTAACTGCTACTCCACTGACCCCGCTGATAGGACAACATCCACCAGAGCAGAGAGTGCCTTCACCTCGCAGCTGAAGAGGTCACAGTTCATTTTCCAGCCAGCGTAGATGTCCACTCTGTGTGAAGTGTGTATTCCGTCCTCATGTCTATACGCAAGAGCACGTTCAGGTGCTCATTGCAGGCATAAAGGCCTTAACTCCCCAAACTTTAAAACCAAAATGGAGTTATTATGATGCTTCAGTGTCATATTTTAGAGTGGTTGGCGTTTATTGTACCGCAAGAATGGTATGTTGGGATCAAGCAGGCACAGAGGCAATAAAAGTTGTCAAGCAGTTTTGCAATTTCTTGAACATAAACTGTCTTTTTAAAACTAATCAAAAAAACTTTAGCCCTCCTTAGAATGATTTGTTTTTAACTTGCTCATTAATGGAAATAACACAGACTTAGCAATGATTCCCTGGGATGGCAATCGAACCACAATCCCGCAGTAAACCAAAGCACTTAGCCAAGGGCTGCCCAGATTAAAGGGCATTTTACGGCTGGGAGATGCACTCGTGAACGGAGGATTACTGCTGCAAATTAGGCTGAGATTCCTGACAGGGAAAGGTTTATCAGTGGTTTATTTGGAGATTGCCCTCTGCTGGATTACGTTGTAAACACCAAAGGCAACAACAAGGATGTTAGACAGCTGCATTTTTAGTGTTTCTGTAAACATTTCTCCAAAACATCATTGTCGATTTTAACCGAACGGACAATAACCTCAAACCATCCTGACGTCACATGGAGACATGTTGTCCACGCCGCATGTCGTCAAAAATCATTTTACTCCTCAAATCCATAAATCCTGCTCTTTTGATGCTTTTCTGATTCGATTTTTGAAGGGAGCCACTGTCCCACCCACGGAGGGAGACAAAGACACCAAGGGACAATCAGTCACAACCTAAACATGTGTTAGTGTACATCTGTGCCTCGGAGGTTTGCTCTATCAGCCAATGCACTCACAGTTGCACACACAAATACATACACAGACTGGGCATCCATCCATTACTCCTCAGCCAAATTCACTTAACTTTTATTCCTGGGGCCAGAGACACAGGGCCAAGGCCAGGGGCCAAACAGCACACAACACAGAAACACACTTTTAAACAGGCCTGTAGTACACATCAATTCAATTAGGTCTGGTCCAGAACCCAGTCTGGACATCGTCACTGACCCATCTGGTCGGCACTGCTCCTCTCTGCTGCCGTCTAAGCTCTTATTTGTCTCTTGTTTACCCAGAGTTACATTCTCCAGATAATAACTTTATCTCATGTTAATGACGGCTAAACCCTTTTACCAGTTCTGCAGAGCGCACGGTTACAGCACCACAAGACGACTTCAATAACATCCTCATTTAACCCAAAGCCATGTTTCCATCGTGACCTGCTGTACAGGTCAGCCTGCAAACATCGTGGGATTATTTGGTGGAGTAAATAATTTCAAAATATTTGACTCTTTCCTTTGCTTGAAGTATGGTTCCGACAATACGTATACAGTTCAGTTCACCTGGAAAGGTTTGAATCAGTAAACAGGGTCTGGTTTGAATCTCAACTTAAGGTTCTGTTGGCCAAATGGTTCCAGCTCCAGCGGCTACAAACAAGTGCAGCATCAAACCATCCTTGAAGAAAGAAACCTGTCAATAATTTAGTTTATGCTGAGGTTTAGAAGCTTTAATGTTTCCTGTTAAATAAACATGGAATATTTAGAAAACTTGAGAGAAAAATATCCGGCTAGGCTTCCGTAGCACACACGAGCCTCATTTTTTTTTTTTTTTTTTGCCTTGGGACGTGTAATTTCAAGAGTTGATTTATCCATCTAATGTTAGCTTGAGGCTGGTAACTTGAATGAATGACAACAAGATGTCTACGAAACTCCTTATGTCTGCTAAATATAGATATTTTAGAAACTTTAGCCGAAAGATATCTGATTGTTAGCCAGAACAGTTAACGAACAGCTAACCTTTGCCAAGCTTAAGAGGAAAAAGTCCAACTTGGTTTCTGCAGTAGACCCAACTCTCATTGAGTTAGCCTAGCAACATGATACGTCACAAGAGTTTATTTATCTTAGCTATCAGCTATCACTCCTATTATATTTTATAAAATATATACATTTTTTTTTTACATTTAATCATTCGTTTGTACTCGCATCACTACGTTGCTACGACATACTAGGCCACTAGGTGGCGCATCGCATTTGTGGTAGAAATGAATTTACTCGAACACAGGAAGAATAAATCATATTGCCGTGGTGATAACACGAGCAAAACGTCTATCTCCTTTATTCTTACCACAGGTCAGTAAATATACACATGTAATTGGTTGAATATGTGACTAAGTAATTAGCTGTGTACATACAAGCTAAAGAAACCGGTTATTGAGAGAGGGTTAATTGAAGTAAGAGTGTGACGTGTATGCTAAGTGGCTACTGCTAAGCGGACCTGTATAGTTGTGAGCGAAGGAAACGGATGCACTAAATGTTTGCTAATAAATAATTGTTTTATACGTTTTGTTTGTACGCAAATTGATATGTTTTTGGATTGTTTAAAAAAAACGCTCTCAATAATCACCACAACAATATTATCTTTAAAAACAAGTATACCTATACTGACACATACACACTTCTTTGCCCATTGGCACACACAAGTAAAAGTGTGGCGGTATTTGTCCCCAGCGCCAGTTTCCTTCCATTAGTGAGGCAAAATGGTTGGCAAACCTTCACATACTGTGACCTGCAGCACGGGGCAGTTTTGAACCCACAGCCATTACCTGCTGTAACGTAAGTCCTTCCAACAGCCCAGAGTCGGTGAATGACGCCTTTCATAAAGACAGCTTATTTGAAGCGAAAGTTTGGAGGTAAATCAAAAACAACAACACTCAACCAGTAGTTACTGTCAGCGAGCTGTATCTGTGGTTTTTACTGGAGAAATTAGTCACATATTAAAGCCATGTTAGTAGTACTGTTTCAGCCACACAGCGGCTAAAGGCTCTCTGCTAACTAGACAAATAACTGAGCTTGTATGACAGCTGAAACCTCAGATTCGTTTACAGTAGTGCATGCCAATGACTTGATGACTTTCCATGTTCATATGTTTCAGGGTCACTTCATCATTTCTAAGGCTTTTAAGGTAAGTTATTTTTTTATTATTTATTAACTTCCATTTGCTATTTCCCTGGTTAACTTTGAGCTAAAAAGTTATCTGAGACACACGTGATGCATTGAGGGTATCTTTAAGTCACCAGTATATTAGGGAATAATCAAGTTACATTTAACTAGCTGTTTTTTTTTTTAGAACGTTCTGGGCTAACTCATGTTGTCAGTTTTGGAATTTGTTTTTCTTGTGATTTATGATGATTTATTGCTTTAATTTTTGAGTAAGCCAAAAAATGTCCAGAATATTAAGAAAGTTTCGCACCTGCTTTACCTTCACATTTTTCTACTATTCTATTTGTATTTGCATTTCATTACATTTTGTGTACCCCAAGATAATTCCTGAATGACATTTCTTGGTCAAATGATGATTTTTTTTGTGTGAATGATGGCTAATTTTTAGCATTTTGGCTAAATGTTAGCCATAATTAACCAATATTTGTAAGTTTTCATATTTCATGCCTAGTTGTTCATGCCTGGTGGTTCTTGCCTTGTCTTCCCGCTACCCTGAGATCCTGTTTGTTTCTGCCTGGTCTTGTGAACCCAGTAAGTGGATGTATCAAAGTGTTGTATTCTGAATAACAGAAGAGAGTCTCCCTCGTGCTGCATTCGGATCCCGCCTGCTTCCTCTCAACAATCTTAGTACCATTTAATTAATTTATGGCCATTTATCTGTCAAAACGTATCTGACATTACTGAAGATTTACTATACTAATTTAAATATGAATACTATATATATTTACCTGTGTTTTTGTTTTTGTTTTTTGTTACTTTGATATTTGATTTGTTTTGGTTGTTGGTCAGAAGCTCAGAATTATGTTTTGTTATTTTACTAATGGTCTGTGTGTGTGTGTATATATATATACACACACACAAGAGATAAGAAACCATATCTTAACTAACTCTTTCCACTATGAGGTCACTGAAACATGAGTGGTGCGTGCGTGTGTGTGTGTGTGTGTGTGTGTGTGCACGTGTTGGTGCGCAGTGGAATAATTCAACACACAGTCGGAGCCACAGTCTGGTTCCCATGGCATTAGCAACGGTGGTGAAGCAGCGCAAAGAGATAGAAGTGTGTGTGTGTGTGTGATTGTGTGTGTGTGTGTGTGACAGAGAGGTGCCAGTGTTATCAGCAAAGCAGTAAGAAAGGTTATGCTACACTAACAGGAATGTCTCTCGTCAGTCTTGACACAGTCCAGCTGCCTCTGCTGCAGCCGCCTGTCTGTCCTTTCTCTGTCATTCTCTCTCTCTCTCTCACACACACACACACGCACACACAGAACTGACCTGCATGTAATAGTCACTTGTCGATGACATGTATTTCTAAATATTTTCGAAATGACCTCAGCATCACAGTACTACCGCGCCGCTGACTCCGAATTAGAAAAGCTTCAAAGATAAATATCAGACGTGAAATAGAAATAATTCTCATAAAAATATACTATATTTTCACGTGTGTGAGGAAAACACTTGGCTAAATCCATGAAACGGATCCTGTGTCTCTCATTAGAAGGAAAGCCCAGTAGGTCCTGACATGGTGTGTCTGGTACCAATACTAACAGAAAGAAGGGAAAAAAAACAATGTGTTAGCATTTATCATTCCTGTCATGTCTGGGATGTCACAGTCCTGCACATTAGCTTTGGTTCAATGTTTTGAACACATTTGAACACCAATTGTGTTACACAAGACACTTTTCAAAACATTGGCTTGAGTCCCCCAAAATGCTATAGAAGACGAGTTGTTAGAACTATAAACCCTTATTTACTAGTAATGGGATTACATGTTTGAGGTGGAGGTGTGATTGACAGTGTCTGTCTTATTGGAAGGAGGACACCTTCTTTCTAAGAAGTCCATGATCTGCATTTTACAGTGTACTAAACCAGGACCCTGTAGACATAGTGTCTGTAGAGCGTCTATGCTGAACTAACCTAGCCTGCAGTCCAGATCTGTCTCCGGTTGAAAGTGTCTCTTTACCTTTCTCCATTTGCCACTTTTCCCTGCTCTGTCCATTCCACCCTTCTTTCCCCTCCTCTTGCATCCATCCATCCATCCATCCATCCACCCATGCCTCTTTCTATATGTCTGTCCTTCTAGCTACCTAACCGTATGCCACTTGCTCTCCCTCTGTCCCAATCTGTCCATTCATCTATATAACACGTGTCAAACTAAGGCCCAGGGACCAAATCTGGCCCGCAGTGTAATTATATTTGGCACATGAGATCATATGAAATATGTACTAGAGTTGGCCCGTCAGTATATGGGTCTGATATATTTATAATAATTTATAGTATTAACGGTGGATGCACTATGTTATAGCACATAAATTTTATTTATTTTTTTTTGTTGTTGTTGTTGGCCTGTCAAAAAAAGGATTTACATTAAAAAGGAACATGAAAGGCTACAGATAAAGGGACATAATAAGAAACAAGTACGACTGATGTGTGTTTTATGTCTAATTTAATTTCTCATGTGTCTATAATATTAAGCTTTGGTCGTTCCCGATTCTGAGCCAAACTAAGGTTTGTTTCCACGTGAAAGAACTCCATATCTGGAGAGAAAGGAAAACATGCACAATTGCTGTTAATTTTTTTTAATAAACATTAGGTTTGGCCCACGACTTCGTCCAAGGTCTTAATTGTGGCCCTGAGTTTGACACCCCTGATCTAGAGCCATACTAGAGATTCTTATAAATATTCCTGTTGTAGGACGGTCGCGGTGAATATCTGCTATTACCAAACAAACAATTTACAACAGGGCAAGATTTAGATGAAAAAATAGTTGGCAGATGAGTGGTGTATTAGCTGTGTGAGCTGTACTGTTGGAGGAGGAAGAACTTGGGAGGAAGCCTGACTCACAGGGCACTGAGAGACATTATCACATTATCACTATTTTATGTCTTAACTTGTTATTTCAGGATCAGATCCCATCCTGAAATCCACTCTAGCAATTTCCCAACGGTTCTGTTCTTCAGAAGAATTCATGACTTCATTCTCTCTCTCCACTCTCCTCTACCTCACTTCACAGTTATACCCCCCTCACCCCCTCCCCCTGGGGGGACACCTGAGGGGCAGAGTTTGTATTTCATTTACTCAAACCTAGCAGTTTAATTTTTTTTTTTTGGCAATTGTTTCGCGCTGAGCTCATTAAACCGATTTTCGTCATCACGTTTTACTTTTTTTTTTTTTACCATAATAAAGAAGTCTGTTGTCACACAGGCTGTAAAAATCAGCAAACTTCAAACCATTTTATCTTTTCGTTTGCAAAATGTTTGTATTGAAAAAAATGCTAAAGTCAGTCTTTATTTATTTTTAATTTTTTTTTTTTTTTTACCAGCAATATGACTTATGAAGCGAATTATTTAAAATGTAAAACTTGAGCCTGAGCTGAAGTTTTAGTCCAGGTTGTGAATTGAAACTCAAAATCCTTGGCCTTAAATTTCACAAGGTGTACCCCTAAACTATGAGTTTAATGATGATTATAAAGTATTTGTACTAACACAAATACATTCATGATTTATTTCTCGTAAACCTCTGATTATTTCGTGTCTACGATTTATCTCGTAAACCTCTGATTATTTCGTGTCGAGTACGCTAGTTCGTCTTACGAAAATAACTCCACATCTCCCCGTCTAGGAGGAGTTGGTGTTGCTAATTCTTCCATCCCGCCCACTCGTCACTTATTTAAGGTTTGCGTGTCTGCGAGTGTGTGTTGGTCTGAGGTGATTGTAGTAAACTTACCTGGTTTAGATCCATGAAGATGATGATGGCATCCATCAAACCAAACACAGGAAGCTGATTTGGTTTAACAGCATAATCACTGGCGCCAGCCGTGGCACCAATGGCATGTGGTTGTGACTCTGAGTGTGCGTGTGTGCGTGTGCGCGTGCGCTTGTGTGTATGTGTGTGTGTGGACCTCGCAGATTGCAGGGAAACAAAACCGTAGTGACCCGATTTTTTTTTTTAATTGTGATTTTTCCTTCTTCTTTGTTTAGACATTGTTTTATCACATGAGTTTTGTTAGATAACAGTCGGTGACTGATGTGATAACTATAAGTGTATCCTACGTTATAACAAGACAAACACATGACACAGGCCTTATTAATGTTCTTATGCAGTTGTGTTTTTTTTTGTGTGTGCCTTTGAGCTAAAAATACACACAATTACACATTCATTCGCTATTCGACTATTTTTTTTTTTTTTTTTTTCAAACGGTTTGTTTATTTAGTTTTCAATAGGACTCGCGCCCCTGTCAGATGAAAACATTTATTGGCTCGGGAAATGTTTGCATTGTTTGAAAGGGCCCTTAAAATGATGCACTTAGGAGCCGCCTTGTTTGTGTGCAGGTCATGTGACCTGGTGTCATCCATTATCTAATAACGGACGAGATAACAGGTCTGTTTAGACTGGAGGGAGAGAGACAGAGAGAGAGAGAGAGAGAGAGAAGGAAATGTGTGTGTGTGTGTGCGTGTGCGTCACACAGCGCAGCTTTGATTTTGATAATTTGCTGTGGCTCCAGTCTGACACCTTTAAATGGTTGTCATCAGAGGCCACATGTTCTCGTGCGCGCACACACACACCCGCACACACACACACACTGGCCTCTCGGCAGTAATCTGTCTGCAGCCAAATCCCCCTCACTTTAAAAAACGGCCAAGGACCAGAACAGCCAGGATTTACCTGCACTTTTCTTTTTTTTCCCCCCTCTAGCTGAACATGGGAAACGCACAACGCTGTGTGTCTGAATTAGTCTGAAAATATTTTCAATGACGTGTAGTTTACCTCAGCTGTGGACGGCACTTCCACAAACTTCCACCAGGGCTGTTTACGTCGCCACAGTCAGTGGCGTAACTTCCTTTTTTTTTTGCCCTCCGTCTTTCTGCCAACTCTCCAGCCAGAAACAACAATGCCATTGTATCCAGTGGGGGAAAACCATTAGAGTAGCATAGTGAAGCTAACTGCTAACCTGTAGCGTCAACAGGCGTTGTCCCTGTAAATGTGAAGCACTCTCCCAGGCGGTGTTGTGGTGATGTCTGTGCACGTGAGTGCGTCTGTGTTCACATGTGAGCCTCTGTGTGTGTGTGTGTGTGTGTGTGTGTGTGTGTGTGTTTAGGGGGTCAAGGAGGTCATTGAGGGTTATGGCAAGCAGACAGAGAGTTTGTGACCTCTGACCCTGGCTTGTGCCTATGTCAGAAAGTGTAGCTCCTTTTTGAAGAACACACACACACAGACACACACACACACACACACACACACTCACCTCTGTTGTTAATGGTTGTGTCCTCTGTTGTAGTTCTGGGTTGTGTCTTTGGTATAAATAGATCCACCTTTGACCCAGGGCCGAAAAACACACTCTCACACACACACACACACACACAGATACGCGCACGCACACAAACACAGCTCTCCAGAAGATGTTGACCCATAAACGTCTCCTTTGAGGAATAATATGTATAGGCAACGTTAAACTTTTGATTTAACATTCACATCATGTTTTTACATTTTCCTGAAATTAATTTAAATTGAAATGAATAGAAAAAAAACACACACTTTGTTATGACCCATATATTGAGCCGTAGCATAAAAACATGAACATGGAGATAAATGGAGCCAACACAGAGGTACAGAGGTAGACAGACTAAGAGCTGGTCTGTGGACTGACAGCTGATGCACAGATTACATCAACTGTTTTCAGCTTCATTAGAGAAGACATCACCTGCAGCAGACTGAAACACACATACACCCACACGGAGAGAGAGAGAGAGAGAGACAGAGAAGGAGAGAGAGAGAGAGAGAGATGATTATCTTCAACAGCTCCTGGCTAAAGCTCTCTCACTTTGCTGTGACTCAATTATAGTTTTGCAAATAGTCAAATAAGTGCCTGGCTTAAAGACTATAAGAGTGGTTGGTTGAATGTTAAGATATCTATGCTAATTAGCCTACATATATATATTTTTTTATTCCCTTTTTTCAGTTTTGAATTACCATTAATCCAGCCCAGAAAAATAATGTCCATCAAATATTTTAATCCCATTAAACTTTCTCTTGAAGAAATAATGATAAATGAGTCTAAAACAGGCATGGGCACAAACTAAGGCCCGGGGTCCGGATGCGGCCCGTTCAGGTTTTTAAATCCGGCCCGCCAATCTTTTCAAAATTATATAATTTATTTATATTATCGTTATACTCCCCTTTCCCTGCAATATCCACTTTTCCTCAATAGATGGCGTAGAAAATGATAAAAGCATTTTAGCCTTTATGCTTGACTTTTACATG